ATGACATTGGTTAACAGTCCCACGACATGTCAACCCTCTCCCTTCTCGACCTTTTTTTTCTTTTTTTTTGGTGAAAATATACATAGCCGAAGATACACCATTTCAAAAATTTCTACAGGCACAGTTCAGTGACATCGACCACGCTCTTCCAATTGTGCTGCTATTCTCACTTTAGATGAAGGTTTACAGAACAAAATAGTTTCTCATTAAACAGTTAGTACACATGTTGTCCTATGACAATGGTTAACAACCTCAAAACACATCAACGCTATCCTTACTCAACCTTGGGTTCCCTATCACCAGCTTTCCTGTCCCCTTCTGCCTTCTAGTCCTGGACAATGTTCGTGTTTTGTCTGTGTTTAGGCACAGTTATGGAGTGGTCTTGTTTTTGTCTTATTCCATCATGATCACAGAGTGGCCTTGTCTGATGTTGACATTCTGTGAAACTATTTATGTTCAGCTGGAGAGCCCCAAGGCCTGGCCGTGAAGGCCAGGAGGTTTCCCAGATGCCAGAGGCTGCTTTTTGTCTTTCTCAGTCTTCACCACCAAAACTGCTTTACCTCAGGTATAGGCCTTGATCAGACTCTCCTCCTTCTTCCTCCTCCACCACCCAGCCTGCTCCTGTAGCGCATGAGGGGAGTTGTCCTCAGCACCTGTTTCCCCAGTTCATCAGCTTTTCTTGGCTCGCTGATTTCCCTGACCAGACAGACACTATGTATTGATGAGCTGTTTTCATGAGGTGCCGAGAGCTACCCTCAGTTCCCTCTCCTCTGGTACCGTTGGTTGCTTCCCTCTTTGCCAGTCCCTTATCCTAGATGAGCCTTGTCATTCACTATTCCCCTCTTGGGTTGATGAGTACTTTAGCAGCAAGTCATTAAACTGTAAATGTGTTTTCTAGCCTAAGTCCACAATGCTGTCCAGCAATCCTTTTTTGTATATCTTTTTTATCCCCTGTTGCACCCTCTGAGGTCACATTTCTGATGATAATCATTCTCGTTAGGCCACCAACTTCACCTCAAATGCCCTCCTTCCGGAAGATGGTCTCAATTTCTACTCTGCTAAGAAGATAGAGGCCATCTCAGATGATCTATCTCAACTTTCTTGATCCCTCATTTTTTTTTTTTCTAAATCTTCGCCCATTCTCTCTCCCTTGATCCTCACTGAAAAGAATTACATTCCTTTTCTGGCCTAACCCCTCCACTTGTGTTCCTGATCTTGTCAGCTCTTCTCAGTAACCCCATACCCCACCTTGCTACCTTCCCCCAGCCTTACAGCCTCTTCACGCTGATTCCTTCCCTTCAAAATGAAGTTCTGAGGCAGTAGAAATTCTTAGGAAGTGGTTTTTCCTCAGCTCTGCCTACTTCCTCCTCACCCCTTGACCTAACGTGATCTCATCATCACTTAACCATCTTTGTAAACTTTACCACATCAGATGAGCTTTTTCTTTGAATCTCCTGATACAGAACTCTGCAAGTTTTTCTTCTGGCTCATCTTGGTTTTCTTCTTCATAATCTCTACGAGTAGGTTTTCTCCATGAGTCTGACACATTCTCTCTTTATCTCTTCCTCTCCTCTTTGTATTTTTTTTCTGTCTCTCTCATCTTCATGGTTCCCTCTCTCTCCCACTTCCCCTTACCAATCTCATCTACTCCCAAAACTTGAATGATTCGTAAATTTGTCTCTATCCTTGACCTTTTCCCAGGGATCTAGTTCTTCATTTCTAACTGCCAGCCAGGCATCTGCAGTAGGTCATCTCCTGAGTACATCAGATATCTGAAACCAGGTTCATCAGTCTCTCTAGAACCAGGTGCTCCTGCTACAGTATGGGACCCATTGACTGGCATTCCCATTCTTTCAGCAACCCATAGTCATCTTTGATTATCAAATCCCATAGATTCCATATTGGGATTGTCTCTTGCATTTGTCCCGTCTTAGGGTGCTCACCAAGCTGTATGTATGTTGTTATTGAGCCTATTATTGGTTAAGGTCAGGGAGCTTGTTGCATTCATCTTTGCTTGCCACTTGGTGCCCAACACAGTGCCTTACCTAAAGGAGGTCCTCACTATTTGTTGAGTAGAAAATTACGAACCAAGTATTTTAATGCTTTACTTGGATTTTACGAACTAATTATCATTGAACATATTTTCCATCATTATTTCTCTTAATACTTTTGTTCTTAACCAAGCAAGCAGCAGAATAGAGTTTTATACCTAGAACCTTGGCCATAGCACTTTTGCTATTTTTCAGGAAGAGTAATTAGTTAAGGGTACATAGGTCAGGAGGTGTTAATTTCACCTTCCTCCTTGAGAGCCAGGTAGAATACATAGGGTTATTATCTTTTTATGGCAATTTTAGATAACTTACATCTCCCTTTTTACATTGATTTTTTTCTGCTTTTTACCTTCTTTATTTTTTAACAGGTTTTCAAAATGGAAACTATTCCAATGACATAAGATACTATTGATAGTGTATCAATATGACTCAGCTCTTCCCCTGCCCAGCAGAGTGTGGCCTCTCTGTGCACAGGCATGTAATACATGTGAGTTACACAGACATGAGAGAGGCCTTTTCCATCCATATGTATGTGTGTCATTTGTGGAAGTTAATAATGCCATATATCACGTGCATGTAGAATGTAAAATGTACTTCACGATGACAGCAGACTCATAAAATGAGTATTGGCTTACTATTAGAGGAAACCAGGGAAAGATTTTTGTCATTTCAAATCTGCTGTTTACTGAATTATTTCTGTCTCTGTATCTCAGATCCTGATTCTGCCTTTTTGTGTGCGTGTGTGTGTGTGTGTGTGTGTGTCAATATGTGCCTTCCTCTCCAGCCACCTTATTTCACTCCAGCCACATGGATAACAAAAGAACCCTTTGGAGAAATGAAAGATAGCAATTACACATTGGTATTCATGTTACCAGAGTCACACTGACATCCTCAGGGAGTTTAACAATGAATATCCAACATTAATTGCCACAGTAGCTGTGTGTCCGACCTTGCTGAAATGTAATACATCATTTTTACATAGTGAAATTATTTGCCACTGAAAGATTAAAACAGAATGACCATAAAATTATATTACTGTTTAGAATGACTGATATTTTTTGTTGTGAAGAAAATCCTGAGACTCAGTTGACTAAGTGGTTACATTGTCTTAGGAATCAGGACACCAGGCATTGAAATACCAGTTCTATCACTGATTTGTTGGCAATTGTGGCAATTGTGGTGGTGCAGTGGTTAAGAGCTTGGCTGCTAACCAAAAGATCAGCAGTTCTAATCCTCCAGCTGCTCCTTGGAAATCCTGTGGGAAGGTTCTACTCTGTTGTATAGGGTCACTATGAGTCGAAGTCGACCCGATGGCAACGGGTTTGGTTTTTTAATCCTTATGGAGGAGGAGTCCTGGTGGTGCAGTGGTTAAGCACTCGGCTGCTAACTGAAAGGTCGGCAGTTTGAACCCACCAGCCGCTCCACCAGAAAAATATGTGGCAGTCTGCTTCCACAAAGATTATAACTTTGGAAACCCTATGGGGCAGTTCTTCTCTGTTCTATAGGGTCGCTATGAGTTGGAATTGACTTGATGGCAACAGGTTTGGCTTTTATCCTTATGAAAGGTGAATAAAAGTTGTCGATACCCCGATAGGTCTATGGCACTGACTAATAAGATGCAGTAGATATAGTACTTTTTTTTTATTATTTTATTCTCATGAAAATATACATAACAAAACACACGCCATGTAAACAATTTCTACATATACAACTCAGTAACGCTGACCACATTCTTCAAGTTGTACCATCATTCTTGCTATCCTTTTCCCAATTGTTCCACTGTGAATATCGTACTTTTTATCAATTGGGGAAAACTATATTTTCTCTTATACCTAATTATATGGTCACTATGAGTCGGAATCGACTTAACAGTGATGGGTTTGGTTTTTTTTTTTTTATATAGATAGAAACATGCTAGGAATCCTAGAACACGTTTCACTTTTTAAAGAATTAACATCATTTTTTAGAGTGAAGGCTACTTGCAGTCAGCTTTTCCTGCTTTAATCTTTTGTTCAAATCACCAAAAATATATAAGCTAGATTTTCTTATGCACATTTCCGGTTCTTTTTCCCCTGGGCTGCCCTTGTAGTGATTTGGTGTCACACACTGGGAGGATTTCACACTAACTGCTCTGGAAGTGTTCATCACTCAGAGCCTGAGTTCACCCTGCTGGGTCAGCAGCGAGCCCTCCCCTCGGACAGTGCCACGTCAGCGGCCACGCTCGCCAGGGCTGTGGAAGCTGTGTGGGCAGAAATGAATGATTGTTCAGCCCTCTCTCCTTTTTTAAAAGGAACTGAGATGAAGGAGTCAGTGCACTCACCCATGACATCCGAATTTCAGTTAGATGAGATTCTAACTAGAGATCCATTTTTGCTTGTATTCTGGCAAGACAAGTGCATGATAAATTTGAAGCCCACCTCAAATCTGGAGGAAAAAAAAACTGAACCGAATGAGTCGTTTTGGGCCTACCTTTTAAAGTAAGGCTGTGATGTAAATAAATATGATGTGTATCGATAACAACTACTTACATGGTTTGCTGATTGTTTTAGCATTTAAATGATGTCAGTTTTATATGATTTTCCAATTTTAATAGTCTAAGTGATTGTTCAATAGGCATTAACCAGCTAAAAGAGATTATAATACACATTCAGTCAGTATTTTGTGCTTTTTGAAACTTTCAGCTTTGGATTGTCTTAATTCAGATTGTTCAGGTAGTTTTGAGTTCCCCCACTTTTTTTTCTATTTCCTTTAAAGTATTCATGTCTCTCTAAAGCTGTACCATTAGAAGGAAATTCTTAAACAGACTTCTAATTTATTCTGAATCTTTAAAAGAAATCATGATGTAAAGCAACTCCAGAAAATGTAACTTTAGTTAGCCTTGTTTTTTTCCTTTGTAATTTTCTCTCCCCTTTTCCTTCTTCCATCCATCACTCCCATCCGAAATTAAAGCAAGATGATGAAGTGACGACTGTTCAGGTTACAGAGCAAGACCAGAACGTCCTGGTGTTGAAGAAAGTGCCGGGCTGTGGCCCAACCCCCACATCTGGGAGTGCAGAGAGTGATTGGAGGTGAGAGATCCCCCCTGCAGCCTCAGAGGCACGCGCTCCTGTTTCCTTTTCCCTTCCTGGCTTCCCTCCTCTTGCTCCATCTCACTTGCTCCCTCTGCCTCCTCTCCCCCCCACCCCACTCTTTTCTCTCCGCCTCTCAAGCGTTCTAGCTGACTGCAGAGCTCTTAGCAGCTAGATGGATTCAGTCCCCCGTGAAAGGACAGAGATGGCAAGATCTTTTAGCTTTTAGGGGATGCCTTTGTTACAGACTGCTCACAATGGGCAGCTCCCGGCTGAGGGTCTTTGACCCTCATTTAGAGAGGAAGGATTCTGCGGCGCTCTCAGACAGAGAGCTGCCCTTGCCTACCTTCGATGTGCCTTATTTCAAATACATTGATGAGGAGGATGAAGACGATGAATGGAGCAGCCGCTCGCAGTCTTCGACTGAGGATGACTCAGTGGACTCTCTGCTCTCTGACAGATACGTGGTGGTGTCCGGGACGCCAGAGAAGATTTTGGAGCATCTTTTGAATGACTTGCACCTGGAAGAAGTCCAGGACAAAGAAACAGGTAAAGCTCGGGTCTCCTGCTTCCAAACTCACAGCTGTTGATGCCCTTGTCAATATGGGTAGAGGCAACACTCCCACTGCTAGCCCAAACCAGAGTGGGTGGAAATAGCTTTTGCTTTGTACACCTCCCTCTTTGCCTCATGTTGTTTTGTTTTAATCCAGTAAATGGACACATGTAGATCCCAAGCAGCTGCCTGGGAAGTAGCCGTACAAAGAAAATTTTATGAAGGCAGACGTTCTTGCTTCTTTGACGAATTTTACCAAATCTCACCTAAAGGTAGTTGGCAAGAGGCCAATATCCAGTGTGCAATGTGAAGAAATTCAAGGCGTGTGTGTGTAGGGGTTAGCAAGCATTCACCTGGCATCTAGGAAGTGCTGAGCTGGGGGGAGTAGCCCCCCTGCTGAAATGTCAACAATTAATGAAACTACTCAGCAGCTACATGCTTAGCAGCAACTTCTGCAGTTTTTTTCCAAGTGGCTTATAAACTGCCTGCTCAGAGCAAGCCCTGGTATGCAGAATATAGTTATAGCTTTTTCATACTAGAAATTGTAATTGAGTTGCCTTATTTATCAGACTTCTTGTCCTTTTAATTTAATCTACGAGCAAAATATCCGTTTAGCTTTTGCATCCTTGCACTTCTGGAAACACTACCACTCCATTTACAAAATGACTTAATCACACTTCCTTTATCGCAGAAGGGAGAGTACTTGCTTTTCTTAACCAGAATTTGTAATTTGTTCCAGTCTGGAGCAATTATTCCAATGAATCGGCCTCTAGGCTGCAGCTTGAATTCTGCAGCTTGATCTCCTGGCTAAAATGCACTTTTTTGCAGCCCGTATAGCACCTGCAATGACCTCACTTTGCAATATGTTGACTGCATCAAGAAGAGGCGGTTGTACATTGTAGTAGTGCGGGGAAACCCCTTAGGTTTTTACCATACAGAAGGGATTGAAAATTGACAGCTTAAGTGGAAGCAAGAGTTTCCTTGTGTCCCAGTAGTTTTGTCTGCACACAATTGATATCTGAGTCTCTATTGCATTCTAAAGGATATTCAGAAAAACAAGGATGTGTGAAATATGTAAACACATTTAAAAAAAAGTAGAGAAATGACCCAATCATGTGTCCTACAGTAATGTTATAGTTTGAATCTCAAAATTCAAATTAAATGCCTTATTTTGCTTATCTTTCGGGGGAAAATTAATAGTTGCCATTTCTATGCATAAAAAACAAGCTAAAAGAAAAATCATGTTCTCATGCCATTTGCTGTGTTGTCTTTGTATGTCTACAGATTAATAGTTTGTGTATCTGAGCACTATTCTCATGTTCTGCTTCCTCAGTTATAATCATCATGGAACTGGGCATCATTTTCTATATCCTGATGACCAGACTGCTTTACACAGGTGGTTTGGACTAGATTACAGGCTAGTCGTTTGTCATGGAAAGGACATCTTTAAACACGGGTAGAGGTTTGGGAAGGTTGAATGCTTTCTTATTTTTTCTAATATGAGACTTTGTGTCTAGTTAATATTATTAAGCATAGAAATTGTTAAAGCCAATACTAGGCCTCCGTTGATTTCTTTTTTACTTTGTTTTAAAATTCGTCACTAGTTTCTTTTCTTTTTACCTTTGAGAGAAATGGCCCAGGTGCCCACTAGCATGTTCCAACTGTTTAACACTGGGCATGGAGAATCACCTTCATTACCGTGGCTAATGCTGCTAGTTGCCTGTTGTTGTTGGGAAACGGCGATGTATATGGTGCCTAGTGACTTTCACTCCACTCTCTCCTCAGTTATACTAATGCTGGGGTCAAATATGTCACTTCAGCCATGTACTCAGCAAAGTAAAGAGGGCCAGGAGGCAGTAGCTTGACCCTTGTAGCACTACCACAGGGCAGGAGGGGGCCAGTTGGGGTCAGCCTCAGCTCATGTCTGTAGTTTGAGGGAGGACACTTGTGAAACTCCAGAGTTTTACAGAGATATTTGAGGAAAAAAATGGTAACACTTTTTCACCCTGTCAAATGAGACTTTTACGGGGGAAAAAAAGTCAAGTTTGGAGAAAGTGACATTTGTATAATAGAGACACTTAAGTGCAAGTCACATGTAGTTCTTCAAAACTTCAGCTAAGCACTTTGAAGAAAATACAGCAGAAAAGCCACCGTGTGAGTTTTGTTGATAAAATTAAAAGAAATGTAATCAAAATAAATTTCATGTGCAAACTGAAGTGATTATTAGTTTGTTCTAGTTCGAGTATTAAGTGAATCAGGTATTTATTTAAAGTATCCGAGGCCACTTGTCACTGACAGAGGTGGGTTCTAGTTCTTCATCTTGGTCAGGTTGGCAGCCCTCAGTATAAAAGGCCTGTGTGTACAAGAACCTAATAGAGTTACATAAACCATATGGAAGACAGATGGAGGAAAATGAGAAGGGGCTGCAATAAAAGTATACTGCAGCATTTTTATGTTCTTGAGCACCCCTTTTAGGGAGATGGAGCCATATGGGGCCGTGCAGAGCCATATGGTGGTCCTCTGCGTGGCCCCCAGTGGTGATGGGAGGAAATAAATGGTCCTGGAGGTTGGGATGAGTCTGTCTGGATTATTACATCCTACATTCCTGCACCCACCAGAGGCTGGGGAAGATAACTGAGTCAGAGAAGAGAGCAATTTCAGATGTAGGTGCAGGTTCAATAGAGGAGACCTTCTATGCTTACACAGGACAAGTTGAAATGGTTACTAATTGATGTTAACATGCAAATGGCAGAAAGTAGATGTAATTGGATGGAATAGGAAGGAGAATGCCAGGGTAGTGAACGACTATTGAGATGATTTAATGCATTTCTGTTGCTACCTTAATCAAGAATAGAATAGAAGACTAAGCAATTCATACAGTACTCTATCACTAAATCAGGCTGAGTTTTAAAAATAAAAATAAATTTTAAAATGCTTAAAAGCATTCCTACTAATGATTATCCGGAGTAATTTGGTCCACACAACACTTACCATACTTATGTTCGCAATTCCTTATGTGCTGGTAGTACTAGGCACTAAGAGTCATCTAATAAATGTCTGTGGAATGAATGAATCTTTTTTTCAACTGTTAAATAGAATGGAAAACGCTATGAGGGCACAAGAAAACCAACAAAGCATTTGGGTCTTCCTTTGCAGTCAACTTTGAAATCTTCATGATTATCTCCCTTCTGTTTACTAAATGAACAGTAACATTCCCAAGTAACAAGCAGCAATGAAGTTCAATTTAATCTAAATTTTTTAACATTTCTACTTTTACTCCATAATTCTTCATTGTCTAAAGTGGAAAAACTATTTGAGCCTGATAACGGGATATTTATTTGTGAATGTGGAAAGTGACTGAAGCGGTTTTCAAAAATTTCCATTTCCTTCAAGTTTCAGGCCTGACTTGAAATCTTTGGAATGTTAGAGAAGAATCCAACAGTTTCTGCAACTTTGTCTTTCATCTCTTCAGAAATAGGGTAGACATCATTGGGCATCCTCAGCCTGGGAGAATTATAAGGAAGGCAAGGAGAAAAACAAGGAGGTGTGGGCAGAGAAACTGGAGGGTTGGAGGGGCAGGTTCTGACCCAGCTGTGGTCTGCAGTGGGTGCTGCTCTTCATGTTTAACTCTTTCTCCTCCCTGGGAAGGATAAAGTATGCTTTGCTTAAGCATGCTTCCATTGGGACTAATGATTTCTATTTCAAAGCAGAAATAAACACTGTGTATCGGATAGATTATGTAGAGAAAAACCTTCTTACTGATTTTTCTTTCTAAATCTGTGTAATGACAGGCCTACCTCAGGGAGGCCATAAGAGGAAATACATTATTTGCTCTCCTCATCTTTCTTATGATTTCTGTCCATTCCCGTTTCCTTATTCTTTATTCATCCTTCTGAAGAAAATTTACTGATTTTCACACATTTTCAAGAACACCAAGCAAAGAGAGACTAGGATAGATAGTGGGAGTATGTGAAGTCAGGTGAAGCCTGCCATCTGATTCTCAGTAGGCCTGGCCTGGTTTGTTCAAGGCATGGCTAGCTTTTTTTTTAACTTGATAATGTTAGCACTCAGTCTTTTCTTTACTGTGTATTCTGTGTGGAAATGTCTGCTCAGCCTATTCCATCTTTCCCTGGCTGTCTATCTCAGTAACTGTGGTATGCTGTCAGCCCCACACAGTAGGCTGAGCATGCTATTGAGGAAAAAAACCCATTGCCGTCAAGTCGATTCCAACTCATAGTAACCTATAGGACAGGGTAGAACTGCCCCTAGGGTTTCCCAGGAGCAGTTGGTGGATTCGAACTGCCCATCTTTTAGGTTAGCAGCCGAACTCTTAATCACTGGGCCACCAGGGCTCCAATTGAGGAAGTGAGGTAAAATCACTGTTTCACAACCTCTGTCAAAATGCCTTATTTATATTATAGGAGTGTCCTTCGATTGACAAAGTCCAAAAGTTATTCTTAATGGCCAGCTTAGTGGCTTTTTTAGAGCATTGCACTGCCAGTACCTTGAGATAAGCTAGGACAGGCACCTCACTTTTTATTAACTTTTTTTTTTTTATTGTGTCTCCTGCCAAGACCCTAATAATCATGTCATAAGTGTTTGTTGTGGAAGAAAAGAATATTAAGAATGTTTTTTGTCTGATCACTGAAAAGGTAGACAGTTTAGGTGAAGGCCTTTGCCTTGTCTTTTGAGATTTCCAGGAAAATGTTGGGTGCCTCTGTTCTAGGCTTCCTCTCCCAGGTCACCGGACCCTAACCCTGCAGCACCATGGCTCCTTCAAGACTAAAATTTTTTGAGTGTAGGCAGAAAATTTTGCAGTTAGTAGTAAGTCTCTTCATGATTTTGTAGAAAGGGAATGCATATGAAATTATCTTGCATTTATATATTTTCTCCTGAAAATGTCACGTAACAGACCATACTTCTTGTCTGTGGCAGCACATTAGAAGCACCTGGGTCACTTTAAAGGCTACCAATGCCTAGGTTCCACCCTTAGATA